GATGAAATGCAGCATTAAATCACGAAAGTTGATTATTATGATCGCATAGTTTCATTGTATTCGAGCAACTGCTATGGCAGATGCATCTGCATCATTTTATTCTTAAACTGTTAACATACTTTGATGTTCATTCCGCAGCATGTACTGACTATTAGTGCCTAGAACGTCGTTGTGAACAGACCGTGTTGCTAGCGGATGAAACACTGCAAAATGCATTTGTCACTGCGCGTTCATCAATATCATTCGGTCATGGCCTGCGAAAATGGTCTTCGCAACTCTGAGCAAGCCGGTAGTGCAAACCCTGCTACATCTGTTCACGGAGTTATGCTCAACTGAGCATGTTCTACGTATAGTCGCATTCCTGCCTACTTGTGCCGTTTTCGATATTATGGCAAATCTGATACACAAAATACTCTATGGGAAGAAAAGCTCAGCTATATGCACATAACATCGAATGGATCACAACAGACACCACTTTCTGTTGTTTAGACAGTGAGCAATCACCCTCTCTGTTGGCCCCACAGCTGGAATAATACTTATCAAAGCACGATTTCTAATGATGCCTTTGAAACCCTTCAGAACAGAATAGTACACGACTGCTGAATTTTTATTACAGTGCTTTCAAGTTATATTTCCTATGCAAGAACTATCCTCATCGTTTTTCAATGAGAATAACAGATTTTTATGCGAAATCTGCGATCGCCATTATTGGGCTTACTAATAATCTGTGATATTTAAAATCTAGGCAGATCTGATCTTCATAAAAATACCGTGAAAAGGTTCAAAGCGAAGGTATAAAAATTTTCTAGCTGCGAAGAACAAATCAATTGATATCATCAACTGGAAAGAAATTTAAACGGTTGTTCTGGTGCCTTCCACTGAACTGCGTGATTCCCACTGCTATTAGACATCTTTGTAAAATGGCAGAGAGATGGAAATTCAGTCCTTAATCTGATATGGCAAAATTTTTGCTTCATTTCTGTAGCTAGGACTCCTCAAGCAGATTTATTCAAATTTTAGCAAACAGCAAACTTTCCTAAGGGACTAATTCAATTTAAT